CACACACACACACACACAATATTATATATATTATATATAAAATATATATGTATACACACATACGCACACGTACACACACGCACATATTATATATATTAACGAAGTAAATATATACGACATACCTCATAAGCCATTGGCAATAAAACTTGCTGGAAGATCGCAATATAATCTGCATTAGTCATACCAGTTTTATTTAATGGTACATTAAAATTATAGCCTTCTCCAAAATCTTCTCCGACATAATGAAAATCAGATTCTTTTAAGTTAGGCCAGAATTCGCCATATTCATAACGATGTATTGAAAAATAAACTACACTGTAAATAATAAATTTGACAATTATTAATTGATTCTAATGATACATTCAACATATCTTTAAAGAACAATACAAAATAATTTTAAAAAAGCAAGGAATACATACCGTGGATCATTATAAAACATTTGTTGCGTTGCTTGTCCATGATGAACATCCCAATCCACAATTAAAATCTTATTTGCCCAATTAGAATTCAGAGCTTTCTCTGCTGCTAGAGCTACATTGTTAAAGAAGCAGTAACCACAGTATTCTGATTTCATTGCATGATGACCAGGTGGTCTTAAAGAATATTGTTATTTATTACAATTAATTTACTATAATGTACAATATGTAATATATAATAAACATTTTTTAAGTCAGAATATCATAAAATGTAATATTTAACATGATAAAGTTATGTATATTATGCTACAATACAATAAATTGTATTTTATATGTAATAAATTAAATCTAAAATTAATCCAAATTAAATAAAGGTAGAATGAAAATAAAATTAAGACAAGTATCGATATTCATAATATTTTATAAAAATCTTCATATATTAGAATTTACCTGATAATAGCCATGCCATTTTGTATTTTACCTTTACAGATATTTTCTACCAACTTAATTGTTGAGCCTACAGCTAATAATGATAATTTATATGTAGACTGTAAAAATAAAAAAACATATTTAGAGATAAAACATATTTAGAAGTAATCTAAAAATTTTTTATATTTGGAAATAATGTTTATAAATGTATTTTTACTTTTTATAGACATTTTAATTATCCTTGCTAAAAAAAATATAGAAAAAAAAAACATACCGGATGGATAAAGATTGCATCATATTTGGAGGATAGTGATTCTAAATTTATAGGATCCGTAAAGCCATCTGTTGCCTTCAAAATATCAATTTGTTCCTGACTATGTTTACTTAGAAGCTCATCCTCTGTAGCAAATCTTGGCTTTATATATTGACATCTTTGCGTCAGATGTAATTCCTCACATCTCTGTATAACTCGTGTCAATCTGGCTGGACATTCAGGATAGTTTGGATCCCAGAGACACTTATGCTGAGCCATGCGGTGGTCAAACACAATACCAGTTTCCTTTCGTATTGTTTTATATGAATCAATTGCTTTTTGATATATATCGCGTACAAAACTGTTATTGTGTTCCTTGTCTGATAACAACTGTTGTTTTGCTGCCTCTCGTTTAGCAGCTAATAATGCAGCTGACGGACGAACCTATTATCAGAATTATTATCAAAATATTTTGTTTTATATAAATTTCAAAATATTTTAAAATATTACAAAAAGCATTGTTTTTAATCATTACAGAAATTTATTCAAATTAAAATATTTTTATAAATTTTTATAAAATATATAAATTTGGTGATGTCATAAATAATAATTACATTTTTTGACTTTCCCGGTTTTTTTTTCTTTCCATATGTGAACATACTTGTAGAAGTTTTTTGATACTTGGTGGAATTCTCAATCACTCTTATTAATTCAATTTCACTGTCTGCTAACTTTTTAGCAGCAATGAATAGATCCAGATTTTCTATAGGTTCAGTCTAGAAAATTGTTTCATTAACATTTAGAAAAGTAAGATACAATTATATATAGCACTAATTAGTTATTTGTGATAATATAAATAATAGTGTATAATATCAAAAGATTAAAAATTTTAATATAAAGACAAAAGCAAGAAATAGCAATTGTAAGAAAAAAATAAAACATCAATCTGCTTCAATATTGTAACTTTTATTAAATGAAAATATTTCTAAAATTTCAGTAAATAATAATTAGAAAATGTTAAACTTTTAAATCAATGTTAATAAAAAACAAGAATTAATATTTTTTTAACATACAAAAGGGAACAGCCGAAGTAAATTTGGTAAAATAAAACTTTTATTTTTTCCAAGACTACTCTTAATAAATAATTTTAAATTCTATAATAAATATAAGATATTGTTATAATTATTCATCAAAATGCAGGTGATGAATAGTGATGAACAGATAATCTATCCTTTTATAGATATACTTATAGAACCTCCTACACACATCTCACACACCACTACACACACACACACACAAAATTCAAACTTGATCTTCGTCCCACGTATTTACAAGCACAGAATTAGCAATTATTGAAGGCTTCGTGTGAAAATTTATAAAAAAAAAAAAATAGGAATTTAGTATAAAGTATTCGAAAGCATAAGGAATTTAGTATAAAGTATTCGTAGCATAAAGTATTCGAATTAGATATTGAAAAAAGATAAAAAAGCATAAGTTAAGAATCGAGATAAGGTTAAGAGAATTTGTGTCATATAATCTGGATAGATTAAAAGTATGCTAAAAGCTATTGCTCACTGCCAATGCATAGCAAAATGTATTATCATTAATTATCACTTTATTCTTGAAAATCACTGATAAGATAAGAATAAATAAGAATGTAGATGTCATTGGTATGATTGCCCTTACCATTTGCTCTAATCAGGATTTAATGAATGTTAAGACAATTCATTTCAAGTAAAATTGATTTATCATATAACACAGATTATACATTTAATTTTTTTGTTACAAATGAGTCAAAGAAAATAGCACTTTAAATTCACTCACATTTTACTTTTTTTATTGTTTTCTTTACTGCGTTCAATACATCGCAGTCGATCGACGTATAAGTGTCGGTCCACAATAAGTATTTAATCTTTAAGCCGTAAGAAATTGACCAATCATAGTCGATTATTCTTTTCATATTCAATTATAATTGGTCAATTTCTTACGTCTTAAAGCTTAAATCACCTATTATATTGTGGACCGACACTTAAGTCCCGGTCTACAATAGGTGATGTAAGCCTTGAGCCATAAGAAATTGACCAATCATTATTCTCCTATTCTTCGACTATGATTCGTCCATTTCTTATGGTTTAAGGCTTAAATCACCTATTGCAGGAGAAGAAAGAAGCCTGAGAGCGGCCATACACGCGATTTAGCTGTAACTTTATTTTAAAGCAGATCCGAGGATAATTGAAGAATAATGATATTACCGATCGTTTTGACTGTACTAACAGATAATAAAATAAATTTTTGGAGTACAAAAATAATAGCAAAATGCAAAGTTATTCTAATAACTTGTTTTTAGTGTTTTATTTTAAATAATTTAATTTTCATGACATAAATTTTGGAAAATATAAAAAATGTAAAAGAACTGCAAGTTTTAAAAAATATTTAAACTGAAGGAAAAAATAACATGTTTTTTCGCAGAAGTCTCCACTCTTTACTATTTCATTTTTTATGATGACTATTACATAGATAGCATCGACAAAAATCAATTAAAGTCTTACACGACCTTTTTATAAATGGAATCTGACATAAAATTAACTCTTAATATATTTACATTAATTAAATTTTGAGTGAAATATAAAAATTTGCAAAACATATCGATAAATATCGTCGAAAATGTTTAGTATAATTTATTATATTATAATCAAAACGATATATCATCAATAATAATAATAGTTTCACAATAATTACGAACGATTACTTTTATACTAATAATCTAATCCAAATATCTTCCCAAGTAGCAAGATGACGTCATAATGACATTGAGCACTTTCAAATTCTTATGAATTTAATTATAATTTGCACACTATTTTGTAATATGTATGTACATATAGCGATAACTAATTTATTATAACAATTATTTATTGTAACACATATAAAATACGTAAGATGTCTATATATCTAACTTTAATAAGTCGTAATAATTTTATTAAACAAATGCACGATAATAGATTATTCAGAAGGCATTTAAAACGTAACAATTACAGCATTTAATGTTGAGTTATCAAAAGACATTGTAGAGCCTTGTATTAGATATTATTCGTAATATTGTTGAATATTTGACACACGTTGTAGATATCGCAGCCTTCAAAATTGTTTACGTGCCGTGGCTGTGGTATGTACGGCGCGCAGCGCGCGCCATGTTTACGATCGTGCGCCATGTTTACGGTGCTCCACGTGTTATCATTCCTCATCCGGCATTCGTACGAACTGATAGCGGCGCGTATCGCTCCGCGTTTCCTCATATTCTTTCGTTGTTAAATAATACCAAATATTGCCGTATGAATATAATATAGTAAATGCTTATCAACGCTTCATTAACTATTCATAAACGTATCGAAACAATATCTTTTTAATAAGTATATGCGCATACATCGCGCGACTTATTTCTTAAAAATTTATGACTTTTTGTAAATGATAACCCCTCCGATGGGTACAGCCTTGACGTGGCGGAGGGGCTGAGTATTCCGAGGGATTTCGTATCCCAAAGACGAAGAAGCCAACAGTACCCATTGCACCATTATTAATAATTCCATATTACAAATAATAGCTAACTTACACGAAATACTGTAATTTTTAATAATCGAACATTTATTTTATTTAAATAATGTATATAAATATTTCATTAGAGAATATCGTTTTGCGATATGCTTGTGAATCGACGACTAATTAATATATATTATTAATAACATTAATATTATCGTTGAATGATATTAATGTTATTAAGAATATATTAATAATATACGCAATGCCGTCGATTTGTAATCAACATGCCACTGCTGATTTAAATAGAGTGAATGAACTGTCAGATATATATATATATATATATATATATGTATATATGTATATATTTCGCGACTTTTCCTTTGAAATTCATAACTTTTTATAAATAATACCCCTCTAATGGGTACGGCCTTGACGTGGCAGAGGGACTCAGTATTCCGAGGGGTTATTTAAGCAGTACTATTAATCGGTGAAATATATTTGCCGATTAACTTATGCTACTTGAATACGTACTCCAAAGACGAAGAAGCTAACCAGTACCCGTTGCACTACGTTATTAGTAACATTAATATTAACGTTAAGTAATATTACTGTTATTAATAATATACTAACACAGCATAGCCACGAGTCGTGAAATGGCTCTTATGTGGCAAACTTAATTAATGCGTTTGACGCATTAATCGTCGGTTTTTAACCGACATTCCGTCGCCGATTTAATTGTAAATGAACGAACTGCAGTCAATTCGTCGCGTCGCGCGTTTGCTTCGCGAGTGCCGTAAGAGTGATCGGACTAAGAGACTTTTCCTCGCCCCCTGCGAGGGCTCGTTTGAGAAATATCATTCGTTCGAGTCGGTCGAGTCGCACTGTCAAAGGGTGCAGGGAGCGCGGGGATCTCATTGAGGCGTAGTCGGCTACGTCTTCACGCCACGTGCATCGCGGCACTGGTGATGCCGGCTGTGAATGTTACACGCACTCGCTACCGCTTGATGTGTTGTGTTTCGCACAGTTGCAACCTGCATTAAACGGCTGATTGAGAACACGCTCTGTCTTCGACAAGTGGTTCGGTCCCAATCGGTAAGATTTCAATCGGCTGACTTGTTTTCGTCGCTTATTCTCTTGATTTCTTATTTTCGACACAGCATTGCCACGAGTCGTGAAAGGGCTCTTATGTGGCGCGTGCGTTTCACGCACTGACATACGCGATTATATAAGCGCGTATTAGTCTGGAGCGCGCGGACTATTTCTCATTTTCGACACAGCATTGCCACGAGTCGTGAAAGGGCTCCTATGTGGCGCTTGCGATTATTTAATCGCCAACGACCTTTATCTTCCCTTCCTTAATACCTTACCCTTCCCCTTGCTAAACAAATCGCGTTTAATCTGACTCGATCAGAGCTTAGTTCGGGCGGTTATTGCATGTGCCGAGAGGCTGGATCCCAGTTGTCCGATTGTCTAGATTGTTAGGCATCGGCGGTGGGTACCTTCTCTCTCGTCACATCTACCAGCCTTCTCGATAGCCCGGGTGACTTTTGATATCACGTGTATGGTATCCGCCCTGGTGATTCGACCTGAACCGTTGGCTATGCGATGATTGAGTCACGTTTTAGACGTGATTTCTAAGAAACAAGAGACGTCGGATTCAAGTCAGTCGATTCGTCTTCTTCCGCTTCGATCCTAGCCTTTGCTTGAAGAGTTACCGTGTATCCCGAAAGCTCACCGACTCGGGTGCTGACTGGACCGACGGAACATGATATTTTCACGGGCAGCTAAATGCGGAGTGCCGTCAAATATCGCGCGAAAGACTTTTATTGAAAGTTAGTCCGCGCGCGATTATAATAATTCGCGAGTGTTTTTCGCGAGTGTCTTGTGCTGCGAGGACATCCGACGACCCGACACCTTAAGAGGAGGAGGAGGCCTAGGAGAGGCATCGGACATCGGCGGAGCAACCTTGCGGTAAGTATACATCTTTTGTCAAGATGAAATTATTTCTTTTTTTATTTATTTGAATCACTGAATTTCAATCATTTTAAAATTTATAGTTTATGAAAAAATAATAATTTAACGTTTAATATGAATTTATTTCAATAAAAGTCTTTTTTGAAAATTATTTATTAATTATTAATTATTTTCATAAATATCTAATTGAAAAACAAGTAGATTTGATAAAAATTTTTTAAGTATCGATTGTTTCGAACGCTAATATAATTTGAATATTCTCTTTGTATGTTACAGAAACATCGTAGCTACGTTGCAGATTAACTCCGCTGTTGCGCATCGGGTCGGTGAGTGATAAATTTTTTATACTGGGGTAACAAATCTATGAAACTTATATTAGACTATATTTTTATATATTTATTATTACAGTTTTGCAATTGGGTATATTTTCATAGATTTGTTGTCCTAAAATGGATATTTTAAACAATTTAGGATTGTATATTTAATCTTGGTATGATATTATTGATTTATTATAATGCACTTGTACAAACACAAATAGAATTTTTTATATCGATTTTATTACTTTATATTGTTTTTTTATATTTCATTTGCGGGATGTATTAATTGCTAAGAATTATCAAATAATCTTGCAATCTAATGCAAGAAAATATAAATAAAAATAAGTTAAATAATTTAATTGTTTTAAGAAATTAAATTAAAAACTTATGTACCATATAAAGTAAAACAGATATTTTTAAAATAACAAAGTTTAATTAATTAAGAATTTTTTGGAAATATATAGAATTTATTCATCTATAGAATATATAGAATTTATTAATATGTAGAATTTATTAAGTTCATTAAATTTTTGAAATAAATTATTAACAATTAAAATGGCATAAAATCGCGTGAAAGAAATTTAATTAGTATTCTTTAAAAAGTATTAAATTTTTATTTTAAATGTTTTTATGATATATATATTTCTCATATTAAATGAAGAAATATAAATGGAAATATAAAATATAAATATAACTATGACTCTCTGTTGAATTGGATTACTATGGTTTAAAAAATAGTAATCTTTGAGGCCCACTATCTGAATTGATTGGGCATTGTGTCTAAGACTATCCTAGACTGAGCACATTAGACTAACAACCCAGTCGGGGTAGGGATTAACTGGAGGTCACGATCCTCCGATCTATCCTGAGCCCACATTCTAGGCGTACGAGACCTTCGGGAAATCTCTATTGCGTCTATACTGCAAGCTGCCCAACGGAGGCTTAAAGTAGATCTGAGAGTACGTACTCTCGCCTTCCGGAGGAAACGTGCCCTTGCAGAGAAGGTTTGTCAGGTGTCCTGGCTTTACGAAGTCCAGTGCGCCGGGCTGGCGTTTGTTATTTGGACCCGTGAGTCCTAGCGGCCTGGAAACCGCGTCGTGCTGGTGTCTATTGACGTTTAGACATGTGTCGTGAGGGTTGGAATGAAAAGAGAGTCATAGTTTATATTTATATGAAATAAGAATATAAATGACATA